TGTGGCCTTAATGGCGAATCCTTGGCATAGAGGACGGAACCCAAGACTAGAAAAATCATCAGCGACGTAAATATCCCAATGGGAATCGGCGCAAATTGCATCATGAGCGGCACTGGGAACCCAACCGCGCTGGCAGCGATAAGGCACGTCCCCACGAATAAGGTGCTGGCCCCCGCAGCTATCGCCATTCTTTTACGGATCGTAATGTTGAGGCCGGGGATAAATCGGATCAATTGAGAGTTCACGATGAAGCCCAGAGTCAGTTGAACCGAGAGCAAACGCAGCCAAAAGACATAATTGGCCCTCCACCCGTCCGAAGGCGGCCGCAACGGCAAGCATTCCACCAACAGAGCTGTCAACAAGGCTGGAACTGGGGTGAGTAGGCAAACCAACACTGCTCGACGCCGTGAGGTAGTTTTGCAGTACAAGTTGAGGCTTTCCAGGTGCTCGATGGAGTACGCGCCCTGACTTTCAACTTGAATGCCGTTCCATTTCCTTGCGAGGCACTTCCAGATCACAATATGCGGTGGCTTTTGTTGCGAAATACTCTCCACCTGGGGAGACGCAGCGTTCACAATTTGCGCCCACACTTCCAGCTCAGCCATCTTGCCCAGATTTTCAAGAAATGGCACACCCGTGCATCGCGACAGCTAAATAAAGTTTCCGGTAAGGGCCCCAAGAAAAACAAATTAGGTTTTGCTTCGCTACGAAACGAAGCAACCGTGGTACTTTCCGTGGAACGAAGGGAGGCGGAAAATAAGTTTTGCGGCCAAGCGCAAGAAGGCACGTTGCCTGTTTCATGGAACCACGACAAGGCCCTGTGCGGTGGCCAAGGCAAGATCGCATGTCCAAGTTTAGGTAGGGCTGTCGCCAGTGGTGGTTTTCCCCGAGATGAAAACGGGTTTCCGCGAAGCCACAGGGCACAGCCGTAGATAGTATTGTTAGACGATTGCTCTTGAGGGTCTGGGCTCATTCGGCTTTTGGACTTGTCGGTCGCAGCCTCCTCGCCGCCCAACACATCCAGCGCGTCCACGCTCGTTTGCTACCGCTAGATTTGCTCGGGGACCCCCTTCGGTAGCGGACGTCGTCATCCACCGTTCGCCACCCGCTCACTATTAGTATGGGGGTAGTTCACGGCTGCCGCACACTGAACGACGACAAAGCCGATCAAGTTCGCGTGAAGTCTGCTCAGATAAGTACCGCTTGTCGGTAGTTTGTGACTTATTGTTGGATGAGTGGCATGCAGTGTTGACAGAACCCGCACCGACTCCGAAGATCTCCCCCCTCAAGCAACGTTGGCTACAGCACAAGCCCACGAGACAATCTTTCGCCCGATGCGGGGTTGTTGGGCACTCGCTTCGACCGCGAGGCTGAGAGCAATGTTGGTTAGGTGATTGGCCCTGGACACGAGCTTCCGCATGACCATCGCTAGTCGACCACCAGCTTCAGAAGTGCAGAAACCACGTCAAGTTAGGGGGAGGCAAGTCGGTGGTCGGTGATTGTGGCGGTCGTGCTGTTGGTCATGCGTGTCAACACGATAGTCACGCCCAGCAGGGCAACACAGACGCCTCACTCACAACACATGCTCACGAATCTTGCTATGCCAGTATTGATGCTTGCAGGACGCAAAGACAACAGCTCATGATCATCTCGACTATTCTTGGGGGTAGCCTTACCTCGATTCTCGCTAAGGCTTGCCTTCAATTATCAAGAGCAATCGTCTTTGCCCCCAACGTGCTTCTGGAGTGCTGGCAAGGAAACTCAAAATTATTGCTGTGCAGTACACCAAAGACAACGGGTTGCGGTCTTAGATTGAATTCAAAATATGGGTTATTCCTCCTGATCTGGTCAGCCAAGACCAAGACGAAAGATACTTGTCCATCCTAATAATATATATATAAGAGAGAAAAATAAAAGAAGAAATATAACAATCCAACAACAAAACCTGGTATTACCTGAATACGAAATGCCCTCCGACCGGGCGATTCCGGTCGTTACTCTCGGATGCCTCAATAACAAGTTCAAGGGTTTTCTGGCCAAGTGTCTTGCCCTGGTACCAGCTGCGGTCCCGTTGAAGCGAAAACTTGCCAAGCACGACAGGAGATGTATCGTGGATCTGATGAAATCCGGAGTTAGTATCGTCCAAGAAATCGGGCAAATGGTGCAGTTTTCGTCGCCGGTCGCCGAGAGGTTTTATTTCTATCGGCTTGTACCAGAATGCGCAGGCTGGGATCCCAATTCGTTGCATGCTCTTGTCACGATGGTTCTGGGAAGCATGTCAGCGAAAGCGCTGCTTGCGAGCGCTCGTAAAACTGGTGGTATGCCGGACGAAGTTACTTTTCGGCAGGAGGTTATGAGAGGGATTGCTGTCAACACCTTCGAAACGTGCACCATTTGTCCCGAACTGCCACGCGTGTTCCCGTCGTCAACCCCCGATCGAAATGAGCGCGGGCGTACGGTTTTCTTCGTGGGGGCGATGGATAGATGGGGGCTGGAGGTGGTGGTAGATGGCCTGGACAGCCAAGACTATACGTCGGGATTCGCCACGGGCGGGCGTTATGCCGCGCTTGAAGCCGATGACTACGCGGTTCTCGATCTACGTGGCAATGCAAATGGAACCATCCCAGCTGCTGAAGGAGAAGGTGATCACGGTGTTCTTCAAGTTGGGAGACTTCTCCAGGTGCCAGTGCGTTCTTGGCATGAACGAGACGCGGCGTGATATTAATCTGGGCTGATTAGTGCTGTACCGTGATGGGAAGATGAAGGCGAGTGAGTAGCTTCGAAGTTTACGTTTATATCGCACAATTATTTTGCCAAAAAAATCTGACTGCATTCCGCTCCTCCTTTTAGATGGCTGTTGGTTGTTGCGCGAGAACTTGTCTCGTTCTTGTTGTTGAAGTGTCATCCTATGTGTAGGCAAAATCACCGAAGCAGATTCTGCATTGCCACGCTATTTATTCATTTGTGTTTGCCTACAGGACTAGTTGCAAGTGTGCTTTCAGGGAGGGACTCTCTACACAGGCCGTGAAGGATGAGAGCAGTCACCCGAAACTCGTTTTCTTTCGAGTCCTCCAGATCCTCCTTGAAAAAGCTGGAGACTGACCAAGATGCCAGTCTACTGTAGACGCGAATCAAACCGATACGAAGAAAGTATTGAGCAATCCTGGCGCGGAAGTGGGCGACGTTGTGGCTGCCGTGGTCGACGAAGCAGGCGAGAGGAAGATCGAGGGGTTCTTGGTGTTTCGCAAGCGTGTGCGTCGACGACGCTATTGCATTCTGCAGGAATAGCGGCGGATGACGCTAAGTTGCGCGCTGTGGGCACTCATCGACGTCATCGAAGAGCGCAGGTACAATTCTCGACTGCATCGGGGACCGCGCGGAATTGTAGCATTGGCTAGTGGCGAATATTGATAGCGTAGGTTCGTGCAAAGAGGTTGATCCAACACACCAAAAACAGTGGTCAAAATGGCTGCGTAGAAAGAGTTTGGTTGGTGTCGTTTACGCGCGAAGCGACACTTCAGCGACGTAGCCAGTATTGGTTGCAAGTTCGCCGCCGCTCTATACTTGTAGTTAAGAACTGGTGTGTGCTATTGCCCTTCAGTAATCCCCAGCACGAAATTGGTACGTATGCTTCATTCCCAGCTGAGAGTCAGAAGCAGGCTCAGAATTACTGATTTTCCTTCGCAAAATTATTGCCTTGCTAACGTTGGCAGCCTGTCAATGGCAGGTCTTCTCGGTATTTATCAAGTTGAGAGACTTCTCGAAAACATCCACCCTCCTCATTATCAAACTCATCCGAACAATGGGTGACGCTGCATCCATGCCCCCCCCCCCCCAAAAAAAAAAAAACTCTGATATTTCGAGAAATCTCCAACCCGTTACCAACTTCTTCACGGAAAGACCATCAGCAAAAATTCTGCTACGACGATGTTGTCATTTGTATTTGCTTGAGGTATACAGAGCATGTGGGGAAATCGACACGAAGAACCAAAAACTCAATCAGCCAAAGAGCTGAGCCCGTCACCGTATAACTTCTTAACTACGCGGGCGAGCGCAGCATAAATAGCTGGGCCATTAACCTTTAGCCGGATATTTGGAAGACGATAAGACATGTTTTTCAGTACGTCGGCTTCATCTAGATGCACTACTTGCGTCGAACACACAAATATCAAAAGTGCTACAGGAAGATACGAAGGCGTCAGGATGGATTGATGTTCAAAGGCACATGTTTCACGTCCACTTCGGCCACTGGATGTACTGTACTGGTAGTCTGTGCTGGTAGCCTCCGAGTGTCGGCACCTGTAAAAGTCGGAAAGACTAGTTCGCCAACGTGATAGTATATTCACGTGCAGGCTTGTCGACCATGAAACCCCCTTCACGCACACGCCTCAGACCAACCAAGCAACGGCACGTAGAGAAATCCCCCAGCTTGAAAAACACCGTGATGCGCTTTTTATTGAGCTCGATCGCCGTCGGAATCCCAGTCTCGTTTCCACGAAAATCAATTACGGCGTAATCCGTCATTACAAGTGGAGCATATTTTCCGTTACGACGGAAGCGCGCGAGGTGTTCTGTGATTTCGCGGCCTTTGACGAGCAGTTCAATTCCCCATCTGTGGCTGGTAGCCTCACGACGAGGTATGTGGAAAAAGAAACCGATTTCACCATCGATGTAGCCACGAGTAGGCTGGCCCGGCGACGGGAAAATTCTCGACAACTCGGGACAGATCGCGGTTGTATATTCTGTGTTGAGAGCGAGGCCCTCCATCACCATGTGCTGGAACGTTGCTTCTTTTGGGAAAGTGTCAGCTCCAACAACACTGTCTCGCAACACAGACGCAGACATGCTTTCGACAACCTTGACGACGAGGTCGACCAGCGAGCCTGGACTGGATCCAGCACGATTTGAGAACAGCTTCCTGGTGTAATACACCAACGGAGAAGAGAATCGCACAACTTTGTCATGTTCTTGGACAAGAACTCCATACTTTTTTAGTTCCTCGATACATTCGATGTTCTGCTGGGCAAGAAGCGACACCAGCGACACAGGATTTGGAGACATGGCGAGACACTTAGCCAGAAATTCCCGCTTCTGCACGCTGATATGGGGTGCATCGCTACCTCCAAAACACTGCGTCACTTGCTCAAGAAATTCCGTGGACAAATGGTACTCCATAAGCTCGACTTCAGAGGGGCGTCTGGTCTTGGCAAAATAGCTTACCATAGCATCAACAGACTCTTTCAGTGCACCGACGAGACCATCGCACTCGCGGACCACCACATCAACGAAATCGCTTCGGTTGACCCTCATTTTCATAGGCAATCCATGAGTTGGCGACTCCAAAAACGCTCGTGCTTCTTCGTCACTCAGCATGAAATTGCTTGGGCCAAATATATGGACCGATCCAAGTCGTACCAAACTCTCCATTGCGTACGTTGCCGAGATAATAAAGCGGGCGTTGTCTGGCAACCACGAAATGGTGGTGCGGGCAAACAAATCCCAGAAGGCTTTGTCGTCGTACTGAGCTTGGGCATCATCGATCATGATAACATGGGTTTCCTCAACACTGAGACGTGATACCCTCTGAACGAAGTCGATCCCACACGTCAACAGCAGCTCGGTCGCTGGCGAATCGTGAAGAAACGATACGTAGATGCAATTGACACCAGGGTATCGGCGAGCAAATGATCTTAGTAACGTCGTCTTCCCCGAAACTCTTGGAGATGCCAAGAGAGTAATGGGGGTTTTCCGGAACGAATCGTAGACTCCCTCCAGCAACTGCTCGCGCTTCAGCATGTGACGCAGTTCGCGCGCCAAACCAGTAGAATCCCCCGGGAAGCCTGTAGGTGCTATCCTCACGACGAGCGGGTAATGCTCGCTC